CCACGTGCCCCCAGCAGCGCGCTTCCATGATCATGCAGCATGAAGAGCGGGCCAAGCAGGTTAGTTGGGGGCTGTGGTGTGGGGGGGCTGGGGGCTACAGGGAGCAGCTGTGGGGCTGCTGTCTTGGGTGGTTTGGAGAGGGGCACTGTTGGTCAGGAGGGCATACGGTGGGTCTTTGGCTTGCTGGGGTGTCTATATTTTCAGCCCTGCTCTCCTAGCCTGGAGCTGGCCACATCTCGGGGGCCGGGCAAGGCGCCCTGTAGCCCAAGCCCCAAAGCTTGCCACATCCCAAGTCAGCCTCATATCCCCAGCCCTGACACTTGCCAGCCACATCCCAGGGCTGGGCAAAGAGGCCTGTATCCCCAGCCCCCCATTTTAGAAGTACCCCTGTTCCCCTGAGCTCTGGACAGGATCAGACCCAGCTGCCCTGCACTTTGGCACTGCTGTGGGCTGTGGTCTTCCATCCTGGTGTCCCCAGCCCTCTCTTCCCCCAGTATACTGGTGCCTGCCCATTCATGCCTTGTTCTCTCACAGGGGGACAAGCTGAAGGAGCAGGAGCTGCTGGAGCAGCAGAAGCGGGTAAGTCCCCCATGGCATGTACCACTGGGTGGGTGGGGTAGCAGCACGGTCTCTGGCATAAATGACGCGTGTCCCCGGAGACTGAGGGGGTACCGTGACTGCCCGCAGGCAGTGGGGGCACGGCAGCGAGCGGGGAGCTCCTGCAGGGGGCGGCGGCATCAGCAGTGATTGGTGACCGCCCGCAGATGCTGCTGGCAGTGTTGGTGGCAAGGGGGGTGGGTGGGGAGTGGCGACTATCCGCAGGTGCCTCCGGCAGTGTCAGCAGAGCTTCTTTCAGGGTGTGCACCACCAATCCCAGGTGCATGTGCACCCCCTGTGTATTACCAATGGTCTGTGGGGTCCCCTTGCCCCCTTTACTAGCCTTATCCCAGCTCTGCCATCAAGCCTGTTGCCACACACTGAGGTCCTTGTCGAGACAAACCTGTACTCCGTGTGGGACAGAGATGTCTGATGGCACTCAGGTGCAGAAAGAAGACAGAATACCCTCTTTTCATATACCACATTCCCCTGGATAAGACTGCCGCCCCCCCCCAGTTGCCCAGGGTACAGGTAACCTTGCAAGTTGGCTACTGATAAAAAGCAGAAATTGGTCTGCAGCTAGATATTTTTTTGCTTGCACCTGAAAACACAGAAAAACAAACGCTTATCCCTAAGTCTGCCTGGCTGCTGTGACAACACAGCATAAGTGCCCACCTGTAGGGAGAATTGAGCTGGAGGGTGGCATGTAGGTTGGCAGGACTTGAATTTGCTGAGCTCTACAGGCTCCCATTTAGCTTACGCCCCACGTCTGTAGGTGGCTGGTTCTAATATTCCAGCAAATGATCTCTGATTAGTTCTATTTAAGTTTCTTTGTGTTACTGAGAACTTTGGAACTGAACTTGCCTGAGCCAGGTCTCATGGATTTGGAAGGTGTCAGTTGAGATATAATCAGGGTTGCTTTATATTCTAGGTAATATGGTATAAGACAGCCCCCAATAATTAGATTCTAAGTAAACACAGCTGTAATAACTTGCATATGGTACCCATAGATTTAGTTCCTCCAGAACTATTGCATGCTACCTTTTTGAAACTGCTGCAAATTGTAGTCGAGCTACTCTATAAACACACTTTTAAGCAGCACTTTGCCACTTACTTGTATCTTTTTTTAATTTCATGTATCCCAGGGCAAATCAGCAAAAACTAATTCCAAATCCAAGAGTCCGGAACCATAAGTCTTTTATTAGACCAACTAGATTTTTGCTTGAATTGCAAGCTTTCAGACACAAGCTCCCTTCTTCAGGCATAGGAGTGTGCAAAAGTGTGCAACTACACTTGATCTGAGCCTTCAAGAGGCCGAGAAGCGACTTGTATATGCATGAAATTTAGTCCAAAGCCAAAAGGCTCAAGGTTTGCTATACAATTCACTGGGCTGGGCCCCACCAGTGTGTATGTGCGCACTCCAGATATACCCCTCCCCACCCCACAAAGGAGCCATGTGCTGACTAACCCCCACTCCCCCCCACTCATGAGTGGAACCAGGTGTTCTTGTTACCAGTCTTGGCATACTCCACAAATGTATATGCAGAGGTGACTCAGGGCAACCTTGTTCTGCTTCACCTCATGGAGGGAGGGGCCATTAATCGTGTGCACCAGGCTGAGAGAGGCAGCCACAGAGGGATTCTGGGTGAACCCGTGTAGTGATGTTTGTCAGGTATCCAGATTGTAGCTGTATTGGTCTAGAAACAAAAGGCATCAGAACTCATGGTAAAGGTGATATCTTTTATTAGACCAAGTAGATTTTTGCAAAAAAAAAAATCTTTAATTGCAAGCTTTCGGGCATATGTGCACACTTTTGCACATTTTTGCACACACCTATGCCTGAAGAAGGGTGCTTGTGCCCCAAAACTTGCAATTAAAGCAAAAATATAGTTGGTCTAATAAAAGATATCACGTCTACCACGAGTTCTGTTATGTTTGTCAGACACTTAAGGTAGGTGAAGAAGCAAGAATAATTGGAAATGGGAAAGAAAGATGCAGCTCAGTTGTGGGAGTGAAGAGGGAGTTCAAATGTATTCACTGTAGTGGCTCACCATGACTTGAAAAAGAGTTGGCAGTGAGGGGGACAGCACTCAGTGGGCACTACCATATATCTTATTCAGGTGGGCTGTGCTAGTCTACCGTGGGGTTAGGTTCCCAACAGTTATGTTGGTTGAATGTGGGCCATGTGTTGTACAGTCATGCTCAGGGGTAGCTGCATTCAATCAGCTTCATAGTTGGTTTCCATTACTGAGCACATGCTGCTTTTAGCAGCAGTTTAATAACAGACACTGTATTTAGTTAGTTTTCCTTGTGTGCAAATGTAAGACAGTGGTCTTCTTTTCCTCTTGCTGACTCGGGAGGGGGACAATGACACCTCATCTTGTATTTGACTAAATACAGTATATCCTTGAAAGTGAAACAGAGTATTATCTTCTTTCCTTCCTTTTTGCACAATGCTGTTCAAAACTGGCCTGTTCCTTCTTTACCTTAGCCGAGAAGATGACAGATTGTTTTGTTCTCACGCATTATGCATTTTAACAAAGAATTATCTGTTTTAACAAAACAGCATCCAATACGCTTGATTTCATTCATCACTACTACTAATACTTCAAAGCTCTGATATAGTGCACTTGGATTATTTAATGTGCAGTCTTTCCTTATAATGGCTCCTTTCAGGCCTTGCAGTCTGTTTGGTTGCATCTTATTACTGGTTTAGACAGATGCTTCCTTTCTTTTGCTGATCAAATTAGTTGTCATATCTGCAAAGGTTCATGCTGCAGTCCCTCAGAAGTAGGCTTTTGGGGCCTTCTGCTTAGCCCCACTTCTGTGGCTTGGCCAAGACCTGTTGAAAATGGCCAAGGCTGGCAGAATACTGTATTTCCTTGCATATCTATGCTGCCAGATTTGACTCGCCTGGTTTTCAGAAGGCAAAATAAAGAAAAGTTCATTTTTTCAGCATCCTGATCACAAAGGCAGAGTGCCGGAATGCTGTTAACCCTCTCATGGCCTCTTCTGTTGAGCATAAGAAACCGTGAGAGGGTTAACAGCATTCCACACACACTTTTACCCCAAAATATTAGCCCTCCCAAAGCTTAGGAGTGTTTTAGGCAGGGAAGCCTAGCTATGACCTTGAGCAGTGAACTTCATTCCAGCCACTGCCTGGCTCCTTCATTGTGGTGCAGAAAAATCAGCCTCCCTGCTTAAAAAACATCTAAGCTTTTGGGGGGGGGACTAATATTTTGGGGGAAAGGTGCAGGTGGTATGTGGGGAAATATGGTAACATAATACTTCACAACCCAGCTGGAGTGTGTGACCATCTCAGCTGTGTTTCCCACTGCTGGCTCTTGCTGTTGCCCCGTAAAGGGGTGGGTGGTTGCCAGCCAAGCCGTGTGTCACCGCCTACTGGATCCAGTTACTTTAAAGCCCCTGGCATGGGCTTTTCAGTATTGGCTGCTTGTTCTGTTTACTGTATATACTCATCGACATAGCGTATTGAGCAGTTAAAAACTGCTGCCAGGGACATATTTCATAGATTCCATAGACGTTAGGGCTGGAAGGGACCTCGGGAGATCAAGTCCAGCCCCCTGCCCCAAGGGCAGGAAGTCAGCTAGGGTCGAAGGATCCCAGCAAGATAAGCATCCAGACACTTCTTAAAGGAGTCCATGAGTGAATTGAAGCCCCTGCTATTGCTGCATGCAGTTGGCTTTCATCAGGGCTCTGGAAATGGTTTTTCTTCATTCTGCCTTCCCAAGTGGAGATGTGGGTCTTATCTGGGGCATGGAGTGTACGAGTAAATGCAGTAGCTCCCTCCCACCTTCTCACACTGGGATCTCCAGCTTCTTGAGCAGGTGCCTTCCGTGGTTTGAATCTTGCAGCATCCTGAATCTGTCAAGAGCGGGGGTTCCCTTAGGCAGGGAATGGTCCTAGTTGTGTTTCCCACTTGGGGTCAGCAAATCCTCCTCCTTGGAAGTTTCTCCTGTCCCAGCTGCGATGGGTGCAGCTGCCAGGCAGTGTTGTCAAAGCTAATGTTTTGCTTCTGTCCTTGCTCTGAGGTAGAAGATGTTACCATGGAGCCTTATCTAGATCAGCAGTGCTTAACCTTTTGGCCCCACAGGGTAGAGGAGTAGGGTAGGGCTGGTCTACTGACTGGATCATGTCCCATGCACCAGAATCTGGTCCTGGGCCTGGCATCATCCCTGCCTTGCTTTGAGTGCTGGCAGTGGCCCCTGGGACCCAGTACTGCCCCCCACGTGCTGATATTTGGTTCTCAGGGAGCCAGCAATGCTCCCTCCTGCCCCAGCACACCAAGATTGGACCCTGGAGGCTAGGTACTGCTCCCTTCTGCCCTAGTGCATTGGGATTGAATCCTGGGGGCCTGGCACCACCCCCTCTTGCCCCCTGTATACTGGGATTGGGGCCTGGTGCCAGCTCTGTGTTCTGGGATCAGGCAAAGACCTGACCCACACCCACCTGGCCCTGCCAGTGTTTGACCCACAGTCCCCTGCTACCGCCTGCCTTGCCACAGCCTGTGTGCCTGTCCACTTTCCCCCAGTGCTAGCAGGCACCAGCCCCCCCTCCCCACACATACACACTAGAAAGCAGGGTAAATTGGCACCTTATAAACCAGGAGAAGTGCCGATATCTGAGGCGCAAATCTATGCTCCTTCACTGGATTTGAGGTTACGTGGCCCTCTAACTGTAGATGCCAGCGCTTAGCTGCTTGCAGAGGGGCCCAACCCTGGGGATGCTGGATCACGCAGGCTGGGAGAAGGCAGAGCCTGCACTTTTTGACTTAGTTGATCTGCTCATCTCGTTACCTCATTTATCCCCTAAAACCTCGTGCCGCTGGCTGGGTCTTGCTGCTCTAGGCTGCTGGAGACACCCTCAGGGCCTTGGCTAGTGGCACAAAGTGGCTGGTAGCATGGGGGGGTGAGGGTGGGGGTGCTGGCATGGAACCAGAGCTGCTGCTGCCAGGGGAAAGG